TCTTCTGATGTCTCTTTACCTTCCATATCGTACAATGTCTCACGCCTCCTCTCTACTGTATTTTGAACCACTTGCCGTAGCGAGAAACACATGCTCGGCTCATACAAGTTAATCCATAAGCAGTCTGGAACGTTTCGTAAGATTCTGCAGCATTTTTTCCCAGTTTAGCACCAAACTTCAAAGCATATCGTGCTTCCAATTTATCTTCATGTTCCGACTGCATCCTACAACCTAATTAAGAATAAAACAACATTTACCCCCACCCACAACCAGGATTTCGAATCCAGATGCCAGGAAGAGCCAACTAACCAAAAGTTCTGGCTCTGCTATTGCTGAGCGTATAATAAATAGTAGGAAATGTGTGGTTAATTTTACTGAGGACCGTTTTTTGATTTCATCTAGGTCGCCCTCCTCATATCACCTCAAGGTTCTAGAGTCCTTGTACATCAGATCCCGTGAGTCTTCCCTTTGTAAACAGAGGGAATGCTTACTGGGTCTGAATGTTATTGGATTCTAGTTTCTTGAAATTCTTCTTTTTTTTTCTTTTCCATTTCATTCCATTCGTTAATTTACACGCTTTTATAATTTTTCTATTCCCAGAAAAATAAACTTTATAAGTCCTGCGACGAAACCGGTTGTTTTTTTTAGCTTTTTCTTTTATAAAAAATGCCTTATACATTTTATCTTTTCCTAGCTATTATTAAATCCTGTACCACACAAAAAAAAAACTTATTTAATTAAGAAGTGTTTAGTAGAATGTGTTTAAACAAGTGTTACAGCCGTTTTCTTCAATCTGGAATGACAAAAGTTAGCAGGTCAACTTATTGTACGTGTAATAAAGCTACACTATAATTACAATAATCTAGGAGAGTTATAACCGCCTCTCAATAAAAGTCTCAAAACCTCTGTATTGGTCGTCGTATTTAGCAAACGTGAAATATCACAAAAAACCTCATTTTAATTGGTGCATCAAAGTCATGCATTTATATTAAGGAGACATATTAGATTTTGCTGAAAATTCTTCAATATTACCAAAAATAATTACGGGTATTATAATAAAATGTTTAAAATGATAACATTAGCTGTTTCCTTATGAGGAAACTTTCCGCATTCATTGATCGAGCAACACTAATTTCATTTCTAATTTTAATGATAATAACCGTTTCCTTATAAGGAGACGTTAACCGAGCAGACAGTTACGCTTTTCTTCACTCCTGGCTATCGGGTTAGGATCAAAGTATAGTATCCATTCTCTTCATCTCTAACTGTATGAATTTATTGGAATTTTTTCCTATAAAGTGATAGTAATATTAGCCGTTTCCTTATAAAGAAACTTTCGACATTTATTCAGCTAGCAGCTAGTACTACTGTCGATTGAAATTTTTCAGAAAAACATGTTTCCCAAGTCAAGTAGCTTTTATTGCTCTTTCCAGTATTGATGGGAGTTTCCTTCCTAATTTTTCATTTGAAGTAGTGTGGAATGCCAACATCTTGATTATGTCCTTATTTTCTCTTTGAGTTCCATGTGCTATCCATTTTAGTTGTTGCAGCTGTTGGTAGTTCCCAAGTGATGTGGTTTCTGTTATTTGGTACAATTCTTTGTTTGCGATCGTCTAGCGCCGTCCCAGGAGCTTCCAAGAACGATGGTCGCTCGAAGTCTTTTTTAAACATTCATCTGAGAAGGGGGACAAAATACTTCTTCTTCTATATACCCTATCCCTTGTGGACATTGGCGATAATGGCTCTCCACAATATCCTGTCCTTTATAGCGCTTAATAAATATTGTCTTGTTCCGCTGTCGATTTATTTAAGCTTGCTATCTGTGGTATGCGTTGTCTTTCTCTGTCCTCTCTTCAATTTGTCCTTCACCTCTAGCGGAATTGGAGAAATGCGTTTCTACCACTGAGACATCTCTGGAGTTCATGCCTCTACCCACCGGCGTTGATGCGCTCTCTATTGCTATTACTCAGGCGACCGTAAGTTTCAAACTCCCGATCTATTCCTGTTAGGTGCGGCTGTACGGAATTTAGCCAGGTTTGTAACATATCCTCTATAATTTGATCCTCGTCCTTATCCATTTGACTTGTTGTGAATAGAGCCATAGCCACACCACATTACTTGCTGCTGCGGTTTCTGCAGTAAGTCTTTGAGATTTTAAGATGTGGAGTACCATCCCCACTCCCAATCGGTTTTGAATTCAAAGTTGACATTCTCCTACCAAGGCTAGCGATCCACGAATGCCGTATTATTTATTTGCACACTTTACAGTCGTTTCCTCTCTTTCGATATGAAATCATATTCACCATGTCTTAAGCCAGTGGGAAATATTAACAGGAGATAAATGATAACTGACATCCATTAAACATGGCGCGTGGAACTAGAACAGTCTACCCCAGTGAGTGAAATAAAGGGTTCAGATTGACATTCCAACCACCTGAAGAAGGCCGGAGCGTACAACGGCCGAAACGTTGTAATAAATATGGCGACAAATGTGAAGACAATAGTCCGAATAATGTAAATAATGTATGAGTAAGTAAGTAAAAAACGGTATGAATTTATATATATGACTATGCATGACAAAGTGGAAATAGTTTTCTTGTGGTGATAAGAGTAACGAAAGTATTTTGACATAGAAAATGCTACTCTGATCAAAGGAGAAAACAATTCCCTCCGAATAAATATCTAGAGAGTGCCTTGATCGCAAGATTATCTACATAAATTTGAGCCTTTGCTCTTACAATGTTTCACAATTCCTGGCAGAACTTCTATTATAACAGAGTGCGATATCTATAAACAAATGTGATGGAATGAAAAAGAAAAGAAATCTGAATGAAATCGGCTAGATTAAGAAAAAAAAAATCCCACCATGCCTGGTTGGTGCGCATGTATAGTCGCACGGAAATAACAAACAAATTCAAACCAATGAAGCCCTAAAGAACGAAACGCGTCGCAAGAAAACTTTTCCCACTTTGTCAATCAATTTTCCCCAATATTGTTCTTGATATATAAAATTATATATCGTTATCTCGTATATATATATATATATATATATATATATATATATATATATATATATATATATGGAAGCCGAAAGTTTAGATAGGATTAAAACATGTATCAATATGGTGATTTCCTCTCGTCTTTCAATGATAATATTATTAAGCTATTATTATCAGACAATATGAAAGGAACTTACTTAAAATAAATAGATAAAACTTGTCGATATTATTTAATGCAACATGCATCAATATATATATATATATATATATATATATATATATATATATATATATATATATATATATATAAAGTTTAGATAGGATTAAAACATGTATCAATATGATGATTTTCTCTCGTCTTTCAATGATAATGTTATTAAGCTTATCAGACAATATGAAAGGAACTTACTTAAAATAAATAGACAAAACTTGTCTATATAATTTAATGCAACATGCATCAATATATATATCTATATATACCAAGAGAAATGCTTTCAAATGTTCATCAGTCAACAGCATTACATGTACTGACTTTACATAATTTAGATTTTATAAGTTCTGGCAAAATACAGGGTGTCCATAAAGTTCGTGTGCACTCTAAAAAATTTATAACTTTATTTGTATTCGGGATAGAAATAATTTGTAAAAAGGATTAGAAAGTAAATCTATATTTTTTTAAGGTTTTATTGAAATTTTATTTAAGTTTCCATATGTCCTCCATCATTAGCAATACAAAGGATAATACGATTCACTGGAAAACATTTGCCAACTGATTTACAGTAATGCCTGAAATCACATTAGTTATTTTAGCTATACTTAAAACTAGTGCACATGAACTTTATGGACATCCTGTATATGACATAATTCGCCGAAGTCTAAAAACGGCAATGCAAGTTAAAACATAATTGCTGCAGCAGGCTCGTAATCGTTTTTCTTAGAAACTTTCATTGCAGGCACTTACACAAAAAGTGATCCGATATCAAAAGTTGCAAAAAGTTGCCCAATTTGCACTGATTTTCCTAAAACTTATATTAAACTTACTGTCAGATGCAAAAATCAGATTGGCCAAATTTTGGCATTTTACTCATATTTATTTTAATTTTTCTTCATAGCAAGTTTAACTACAATCCATTGATAATTTCATATTAATAATTATAGCTTAGCTCATTTGTGGCACAGTGAAGCGGTGGGTTAGGTGAACTGACGTCTGGGGCCGGATCCGGCCTGCGGACGGTACTTTGGTGATCCCTGGATTGGAGAATAGATAACCAACAATAGAGAAGCTACATATGAGCATTCTATTCTAAACCGTAATTTTCGGCTTACAAATTGCATATTTTTTTCCTAGAAATTTCCCTGAAAAATACGTGTGTGTCTTCCAAGACGAATGTGAAGGTAACGTCCAGGCTCAAGTAATCCCTGGTCGGTCACCTCATTGGCTTGACTGATAGGGACGTAGATATGTATGTTGAGCCATTACACTATAATGATGATGTAAGCTCAGTACTTAATTGTTACAAGTATTTTTAACACTATAAACCTTCCTGTAGCCGAGCCACAATCTTAAACATGCTCTGTTTACTAGCAGTGGGGAGAAGCCTTTCTGTTCTTGACTAGTATGTCATTGCCGTACAAACAAAAAAAAAAAAAAAATCGAACGAGTGATTAATGTAAACATTACGTGGCGCCAGTGTGTGAGAGACACATGGTAAATGTTTTGTTGTATGAGAATAATTTTTTTCTTAGCAATTTCTTTCCAATATCAGGTTGCCTCTTTCAAACTGCAGCATCTTGTAAGCCGGAAAATACGGTAGTTTATTTTCTCTCACTTCTCACCTGTGGGGCTCTCATTAGATTTCTTGCTTGCTTGCCATCTACGATGTACAAACATTAAAATGCAACGCCAATCGCCATCTTCTCTCTTCCTGAACCCTGTTTTTCTTATTGTTCTACCTCCTCATTAACATCTTCCCGTTTTCTATCCCTCTCAGTAACAGGCTTATGGCGACATCACATCGAAACACCGGATCCCGTACAATAACCTAAGTTAAGCAATATCGAGCCTGGTTATTACCTTGATGGGTGTCTACTTGGGAATACCAGGTGCTGTAAGCTTTGATGCGCGGCTTGTTTAATGGATACTGGCTCGGGATTATTAATTCTGAGTGCTGAGTTTCAATTCCAGTTGGGTTCGTTATATTCACTTACAACTACCCATGGGAAAGGTATGAATCCACCTCTTCTCCCCCATCTATGGGTTAATTATTAAGACTTGTTTCACTAAAGCATTATTCTCTTTGAAACAATTCTTACAATCTACAAATATTTTATGGGTTTAAATAAAATGCAAATGGTTGATAAGCCGTAGAAAATGAATTAAAATACAATTAAAAAAAAACAAAACTTGCGTCTTAGTGACTATATCGCCTCCCTACTCAATTTTCGGAGGTGAGAAGGTAGCATTCAGACTAATTGATGTCATAATCCGAATCTAACAATAGTGATATCTCAGCTATCCTCTGATAAAAATTAAGCCTAGAGTTACAGCTTTTAAATTATTAACGCAATATAATCCTATAAGCGGATTATATATAAAAGAGCGAATTCTTCAATGTTCTTGAATTTCCTCTAAACTAAATGTAGAGCTAATGCGCACAAATAACAGAAATAATTGCGTATGATTCCGTTAAAGATTCCAGAATAAGTGATGCATTTGACCTTCCGACTGGGAATTGTGCCAGTAGTATTCTTCTTGTGTAAAAAACGGCAGCGATACTTCTGTCTTCCCGGAAATACCAGATAGGGCTACAATCTTCTCCTTAGTTCTTACCTGCCTCTTCAGCCGCTATAGCCCACAGGAATCACTTTTTAAGGATGCCCCAATGTGATAATTCCGATCAGAACAAACACTTCTTTATATACACTCGTAATAATTCAGTTTGGTTTACTTTATTTTGTTTTACGGCATATCAACCTCAAATGAGTTATTTAATGCCGTCAAGATTTTTATTACTGGTTATTTTTTCAAAAAATGTATTGCTGATAATATTTTTTCTTCAAAATTGTATTGCTGGTAATAATTATTTACAAAAATATATTGCTGGTAATAATGTATTGCTGGTAATAATTATTCAAAATGTATTGCTGCTATTAATGTTTTGCAGGTAATAATTATTTACAAAATGCATTACCGTTAATATTTTTTCTGGTAATACTTATTTAAAAAAAATGCATTGCTGGTAATAATGTTTTGCTGGTAATAATTATTTACAAAAATGTGTTGTGGTGTCCTCCCTCTAAGAGTCTATGTTGGACTCTTCCGCCTACTATAAGATTAGTAGGAGAGAAGGCCTTGGAGGAACAGTGATATAAACTGTTCATTGCTGTCAACCCACGGTTAACTCGGCCTTGTGGCACATACATCCCTCATGGGGGTGGGGTCTGTTAAGTATTAACAATCGAATAGATCTGTTTTAGACGTGCTGGTCACCTCTCTGCCTCCGGGCAGAGAGAATTCTCAGCCGAAGCTATGTCGAAGGGCAGAGTCTCGTCTCGGGAAACAGTTACTAGACCCCGTTTTATACGGGGTCTATGGGGAATTTTTGGCCGAGTTCGGATTGTCTCATATTAAACCCGGACTTGTGCCACATCCTGCCTCATGGGGAGGCTGGTAAATATAACAGTCGAATAAATTGAACGCTGGGTCAACCGACACGCACTCACTAGTCGTGTAATAGTCTTCTTTTGTACTTACTGTTTAATATATGATATATCTGTAACACTTGTTTTGTTATTTCTTTAACCATTTACTTGTTCGCAACAAATGTATTGCTGGTAATAATTATTTAAAAATGTATTGCTGGTAATAATGTTTAGCAGGTAAAAATTATTTACAAAATGTGTTGCTGGTAATAGTGTTTTGCTGGTAATAATTATTTTCAAAATGTATTGCTGGTAATAATTTTTCCTCAAAAATTTATTGCTGGTATTAAAACATATTTTTACACTTTCGTAGTGTTTTGACCCCAGTTTGGTGGTTAACTATTTGCCCATATTTGGTGGGACTCTAACAGGTACTAAATGGTCAGGGTGGATCTGGGAACACCAGCAATTAAGAGGTGGTACTACGCTCCTCAAAACCTCCTGATCAGAGGTCTTGCTGCTGGACGTAGTTTATCGTCACACTCAGGACGCAGATGTAGTTTATCGTCTTACCCAGGACACGGATGTAATTTATCGTCATATGCAGGATGGGTAATAATTCGTAATAGGTTTTTGATTGCTGACAAAATGAGACATCGTGCCTTTAATAAATTTGGTTCTCACGACAACTGGTGTCTCTGTAATATTGTGTTAAATAGGAATAAATCTTGCAGAATTCCTCTTTTCCCTCAATTTGAACTGTTAACATCTTCTGCTGGTAAAGTAGAATATTTTGCTCGTAAATTCTCTTCCAATTCCACTTTTGGTTCATCTGGCGTATCTTTGCTTAACATTTCAATTCATACTCTACTATATGATAAACATATATGCTATTTTTGTCATCATCTCTAAAACTGGAAACCCACAAAAGTATGCAAACGATGCTATCCCTGCAACAGTGTTTAAGAAATCTGCTCCTGAACTGGCCCCTGTTCTCTCTAAACTAAAAAATAAATACCTTGCCGCTACTTGCTAGCTGGAAACCCTCTTTTGTAGTTCATGTCTTTAAGAACTCAAGCGTATTATCTTATCCACCTATCGGCCTATTAGCTATCTGTCTCTTTTTGGCAAAGTACTAGAGGCACTAATCAACTCCGAATTGTTTAAACATCTTATTTCGTAGATAAGCAACATGGTTTTCACTTCTCTAGTTTAATTGTTGATGTGTTATCGGTTATTGCTGACAAAGCATTAGCTAAGAATGGTGAAACCTGTGCTGTTGCTTTGGATATCTCGAAGTCTTTGTCAGGGTTTAGCATGCTGGTATTATTCACAAGTTAAGATGTTATGGTATTTCTGAACGATTTTTTTATCTGATTCAATTTTTTGTATCAAATCGCGAAATGAAAGTTGTTTTGAATGGACAATCTTCTAGATCTTTTTGCATTAATAGAGGTGAGCACCAGAGCTCTATCCTTAGACCTAAATTGTTCCTAATTTTCATTAACGATCTTCTTCATGCCATCACTTTTTAAATCGATGTCTATCTATCTATCTATCTATCTATCTATCTATCTATCTATCTATCTATCTTACACTTGTCTTAATGGTTAGTATGATGGGCACGTGATGCCATCAGTTCTTAAATCGGTATCTATCTATCTATCTATCTATCTATCTATCTATCTATACCTGCCTTATTGGTTAGTATGATGGGTACATGGCCGATTGGTTAGAACGTTCGCATTTTGAGATTCGGGTTCGAATCTCACCATGGTCGATTTGTCAGGAGACTTGAAGGAAACTTCCTGACGTTATCGGACTGGAAGGGTCGATCCCAGCGTGCGTCACCTTTGGAAAGTGCCGGGGAACCATACTACAGGTTGACACAAGCCTTGTGAAGGAAACTGGGTAGAAGGAACCATTGGAGACCGTCGATAGCTGTGCTAGCACGAAGCCACAAGTCATCGTGGCCGAGGGTGCAGGTTTTGTTAGATAACAGAAACTGTAACTAAACTGTAACTAAGGTCTGCTCAGCATAGTTGCAATATAAACTACTCTACCAGATCTCTGGGTCTTCAATAAACATATATACGTCCGAGCAAGCATCAGGAATACAGATTGGCTTGCTGCCCTAGTGGACAGGTATCCTCGAATACGTGTGGCCATCTATATATATAATGGCAAGTATGATAAGGTCAAATTGGTCGCTGATCTAAAACATGAACTTAAAATTGTTGTTTACTAGAGCAAGAAATGGCTTGTTAATTTTAAGGTCCCCAATACGAAACTGCTATCTTTTAACCGTTTTCGAAAACCGTTTTACCTTTCTATCATTATGGCTGATGCTAACCTCCACGAAAGCGGCTCATTGCCCCTACTTGCGCTAGTGTTTTCAGCTGACATGAAAGGAAAAAGATTATATTGAATTAAATGTTAGGACTGCTGCTAGGAAAGATGCTTCCTTATGTCATGATAGACAATTTTTCTCGACTGAATCTATCGTACACATTTATAAGTCGACCATTCGTTCATACATTGAATATTGCTGTCACATCTGGTCTGGGACTTCTTCTATGTATTTATAAATTCCTAATAAAATCTAAAGAAGAATCTGCAATGTTATCTGTCTTGACCTGGCACCTCGGATTCAATCACTTTTCCATCGCAGTAATGTAGCTTCCCTGTGCCTTTTCTAGAAATATTTTCATGGTAAATTTTCGACAATTTACTCTGTTTTAATTTTTGAAATCATTTTCTTCTCTTTCTCTCTTTAACAATTTTCCTATTTCTTTCTTTCTTTTTTCTTTCTTTCTTTCTACCACTTCATTACACTTTATACTTTATTACATTTTTCTCAAAATTTTTTCTTTCTTTCTCTCTTTCTAAAAACAATTTCCTATCTTTCTTTCATTCTTTCTTTTTCTTTAAGAAGAAAATTTATTACATTTTATCAATGAAACTTTCTCCGTTTTCCTCTGCCACTTGTCTATCTTATCAGTTTCGACTATCCATTCTTTTTTACTTTTTCAGAACATCTTTCTTCTTTTCTTTCTTTCTTTCTTTCTTTCTTTGATTCAATTTCTAACTTTATGTCTTGTCTCGCCTCTCTCATCTTCTCACCTTTCTTTCTTTCTTTCTTTCTTTCTTTCTTTCTTTCTTTCTTTGATGCAATTTCAAACTTTATGTCTTGTCTCGCCTCTCTCGTCTTTTCACCTTTCTTTCTTTCTTTTTCCTTTCTTTCTTTCTTTCTTTCTTTCTTTCTTTCTTTCTTTCTTTCTTTCTTTGCCGCTTCTCCTTCTTTCAGTATTTCCTTTTCCTTTTCGTCCTACTTTTATCGGTTTCATCCATTTCTCCTATTTATCTATTCATTCATTCTTTCTTTCTTTTTTGAACTTTCGTCTCTCGTCCTTTCTCTTTCATTTCATCCATTTCTTTCTTTCTTTCTTTCTTTTTTAACGTCGTCTCTCTCGTCCTTTCTCTTTCATTTCGTCCATTTCTTTCTTTCATTTCATCCATTTCTTTCTTTCTTTTTTCGTCTCTCTCGTCCTTTTCCTTTCATTTCATCCATTTCTTTCTTTCATTTCATCCATTTCTTTCTTTCTTTCTTTCTTTCTTTTTTAACTTCGTCTCTCTCGTCCTTTCTCTTTCATTTCATCCATTTCTTTCTTTCTTTCTTTTTTAACTTCGTCTCTCTCGTCCTTTCTCTTTCATTTCATCCATTTCTTGCTTTCTTTCTTTCTTTTTTAACTTCGTCTCTCTCGTCCTTTCTCTTTCATTTCGTCCATTTCTTTCTTTCTTTCTTTTTTAACTTCGTCTCTCTCGTCCTTTCTCTTTCATTTCGTCCATTTCTTTCTTTCATTTCATCCATTTCTTTCTTTCTTTTTTAACTTCGTCTCTCTCGTCCTTTCGCTTTCATTTCATCCATTTCTTTCTTTCTTTCTTTCTTTTTTAACTTCGTCTCTCTCGCCCTTTCTCTTTCATTTCATCCATTTCTTTCTTTCTTTCTTTCTTTCTTTTTTAACTTCGTCTCTCTCGTCCTTTCTCTTTCATTTCGTCCATTTCTTTCTTTCTTTCTTTCTTTCTTTCTTTCTTTCTTTCTTTTTTAACTTCGTCTCTCTCGTCCTTTCTCTTTCATTCCATCCATTTCTTTCTTTTTTTCTTTCATGCACTTTCTCTCTTATCTCATCTCTCTTGTTTTTTTCTCTTTTATTTCATCCATTTCTTTCTTTTCCTTTTTCTTTGCCTCTTCTCTCATCAATATTTCTTTTACCTTTTCGTCCGACTTTTATCGTTTTCATCCATTTCTCCTATTTTTTCTTCCTTTCTTTCTTTTTTTATTTGTTTCTTTCATTCTTTCTTTCTTTCTTTCTTCGCCTCTTCTCCTTCGATCAATATTTCCTTTACCTTTTCGTCTTACTTTTATGCTTTTTTGTTCATTTCTACTGTCGCAAAAAATGTGAAAGGATTGGCGCAAAATATGATTATTATTCGCATTCAAGCAGTGGACATAAGACTTGGCATTTTCCGATTCCATGACTTGGTTTGATGCTTTCTCTGCAAGTATTTCATTGGAATAGTTCTCGCAGAATGGCAACACTGGTGGGTGTGTTCTCCCGGAGAAAAAGTGTCTAATGTTGGGAAGGGTTTGAGGAAAATGAATGGGTGGTCTGTAAATATTGCCGCTTATTGAGATTGTGTAAAAGCCATTTTCAGTGGAATAGTTTTTAATTGGTGAGAGATGAAAAAGAAAAGATGGCGGGAAGTTGGTTGTTCGGGGAGAAGAAGGCTACAGCGCCATTTTGCCATCTTGTGATTCTGAAGGAGAGAGAGAGAGAGAGAGAGAGAGAGAGAGAGAGAGAGAGAGCAAATATTGAACGCCTGAGAATGAAGCGAAAGAAACAGAATGAGAAAAAGGGGACGATAAAAGAAAAAAAAAAAAACAAAAAGGATGAGAGAGGAATCAGAGAAATAGAAAATTAGAGAGATACATACCCACACGGAAGGAGTAAAGATTGTAAAGGTGAGTGTTGATGAGAAAAAGAGATGAACACAAAGAGGGAGAGAGAAACAGAGGAAGCAAGAGAGAAATGATGAGAGAGAGGGGGGGAATAAATAAAAAGGAGAAAAGATTGGAAAGAAAGAAGAAAGAGTATTTTTATCAGAATGAATATTAAAGACATAATAGGAAAGTGGAAAGAGAGAAAGAGACAGAGATACAGAGAGAGAGAGAGGGGGGATAAAGAGAGAGAAAAGACAGAGATAAAGAGAGAGATAAAGAGAGAGAGACAAAGAGAAGCAGAGAAAACGGGAAAGAAAGAAAGGGTAGTTCTATAAGAGAAAATATTGAAGAGTGAGACAGAGAGAAACAAAGAGAAAGAAGGAGAGGAAAATACAGAGAAAACTAGGGAGAAAGAGAGAAAGAGAGAGAGAGGAGAGGAATAAATAAAGAAAATTTGGAAAGAATGAAGAATCCAGTGAATATTAGAGAGTGGGAGAGAGAGAGAGAGAGAGAGAGAGAGAGAGAGAGAGAGAGAGGGGGTAACTGAGGAAAGGTGAATATTAAAGAAAGAGAAAAGACTGGAAAAAGAAAGAAAATGAATAGTGAATGAGAGGGAATACTGAAGAGAGGGAGAGAGAGAGATAGAGAGATAGAGAGAGAGAGCGGGAATGAGAGAGAGGCAATGAGAGAGTGAGAGACGAACAGAACGGAGGAGAAGGAAACACAGACAGCAAAGGGGGAAGGGACAAAAAGAGAGACAGAAAAGTAAATAGTTGGAAAAAAAGAATTGTGGGTTATATTAGAATAATTATTAAAGAGAGAAAGAGAAAGAAGAGATAGATAGACAGATAGATAGATAGATAGATAGATAGATAGATAGATAGATAGAGAGGGGTAGAGAGAAAGCGAGAGAGAAAGGTATGAAGCGAAAGGCAAAGAGAGAGAGAGAGAGAGAGAGAGAGAGAGAGAGACGATCAGAAAGGGCGAGAAAGAAAGGAGAGAGAAAAAGGGTTAAGGAAAGACCGAAAGAAACAGAAAGAGAGTGAGAGAGAGACGGATAGAGGAGTAGAGACAAAAAGCGCAGAGAGAGTAAAAGGGAGGGAGGGAGATGAAAACCCAAGGGAGAAAAGAAAAAAAAATACGTTAATTTTATTAATTTTAAAGGAAGAGCCAGACGATAGGAAAGGAAGGTATAAAAACAAGGCGCCATTCGCTCTGGTATTATAGTTAATAAGTTGGTCACAATTTCTGATATTCATTCTAACTGGTAAGAAAAATTCAGCAGGCTAAGCTAAATTGTTAATTATCTAAAATATAAGCAATAAATTAATAAATTAAGAAAGAAAGAAAGGAAGAAAGAAAGGAAGAAAAGACAAAAGAAGAAAAGAAGTAAAGGAAAAATGAAAGAACGCAAAAAGGAATAGAAGAACAATGATGGAAGGAAAAACGGAAAGAATTATAATGAAAGAAAGACAAAATAGAAAGTGGAAAGAAGATAAAAAGAAGAAATGGAGAAAAGAAAGGAAAGTATTGATAAAGGAAAGAAATAGAAAAGAAAAGGAAGAAGAAAAAAAAGCGAGATAAAGATAGAATAAAATAAAGGAAAGAAAGAAAGACAGGTACAAAGCCGAAAAGAAAGACAGACAGACAGAGAGATAAAAGAAAGAAAGAAAAATAAAAGAAAGTTAAAAAAGATTAAAGAAAGACAGAAAGGTAAAAGAAAGAAAGATAAAAGTAAGAAAGATAAAAGAAAAAAGACAGAAAAACAAAAGAAAGAAAGAAAGACAGAAACACGAAAGAAAAAAAGACAGAAAGAAAAAAAGAAACAAGGAATGGGAAGAAGCAGAACAAAAAGATAAAAGACAAGAAAATAGGAAAAAAGAAAGAAAGAAAAGAATAAAAGCAAAACTGAAATAAAGACGAAAATAAGATAATAAAGAAAGAACAAAACTAAAAGAAAAAAAGGATAAAAAATACATGATTAAAGAAAAAAGAAAAAGAAAAGAAAAAAAAAAAGGAAAAGAAAAGAAAAAGAAAAGAAAAAGAAAAGGAAAAGAAAAAAGAAAAGGAAAAGAAAAAAGAAAAGAAAGAAAGAAAAAGGAAAAGAAAAATTGAAGAGACAAAGCGAATAAAAATGTTAAAACATTCTTTCAATGAATGATTTATTTATTGAGTATGCTTCCTTTAACAGAACATAATGAAAGAAAAACTTGTCAGTATGTGTGTTTGTGTGTGTGTGTGAGAGAGAGAGAGAGAGAGTGAGTAGAGAAAGTGAAGAAAAACAAAAGAAAAAGACGAAAGTGTTAAGGAAAGACAAAAGAAAAGTGAAGGAGAAGAATGAAATTTGGAAAAGGAATGAAAAAGACGCAAATAAGGTCAAAACTACAAACAGTATAAAAGAAGTAAGAAAGGAAGAAGAAAAAGAATAAGAAAAATAAAAAGAAAGAGAAAAGTAAACAAATAAATGAAGGAGAAGTAACAAGAAAGAGGGATAAAAAGAAAGAAACAAAGAAAAAAGTAAAAGAAATGAAGAAAGAAAGGAAAGGGAAAAGAGAGAAATAAGAGAAAATAAGCAAAGAAAAAAAAGAAAAGGAAAAAATTATAAAAAAGTAAAGCGAAAATATTTAAGGGAGAAAAAAGAATAAAAAATAAATAAACGAAAGAAGGAAAAAGAAAAGGAAAAAGGAAAGGGAAAGAGAAAAAATGATAAAGAAAGGAGAAAAAAGAAGGATGGGAAATGATAAATAAAAAAAGAAAGAAAGCTAGAATGTAGAAAATGGAAGAATAAAACAAATAAAGTCATTACGAAAAATAGGAAAAATAAAAGAAAGAAAAAAGGAAAAATAAAGAAAGTAAAAGAAAAAATGAAGAAAGTAAAATAAATGAAATAAAAATCAGAAAGAAAGAAAAAGTAGAAAGAAAGAATGTAATTAAAAAGAAGAAAATAAGAAATTAAAAAGAAAAAAGAAAAAGGCAGAAGAAAATAAAGTAAAAGGAAAACTGTAAAAATAAAAATAAAGAAAGTAAAAGTAAAAAAAATAAAAAAACAGAAAGAAAGTAAAAGGAAAAAAGAAAATAAAAGGAAAAAGAAGGAAAAAGGAAGAAAGAAAGAAGATAAACTAAAAGAAAGAAAGAAAGTAATAGGAAGAAAGCAACAAATAAAAATGGAGCGAAATCTTACAAAGTACAAATATTAGCAAAAGTGGCGGAAAATGCTAGTGAAAAAAATAAAAGGGTTTATTTTCAAGGACATTTAAACTCAAGTTATGGTTTCTCAAGTGACACGACCAAAGACTACGAGAAAATATATACAAATAAGTAGCGAAGGAAAACTGTCATTCAGTCACGTTCCGGAAAAGAAAGAAAGAATGGATGGGAGAGAACGAGAAAGAGAGATAGGAAGAGACAGAGAGAAATAGATAGATAGATAGATAGATAGATAGATAGATAGAAAGAACGAGAGGGTTAAATATCAGAGTGCATCTAAACGAATAGAAAAGAACCTGACAGGCAAAAAGGACAGTGAGAAGATGGCCGACCGGAAGTAAGGTTGGAATGCATATACGTTTAGGGAGAACTTGACGTCGGATAAGAAGTGGAAACTTTTGGTAGGGTGGGGAACAAATTATGGGCTGTAATGATGTAGGTAGAATTTCGGTCGCAGAATGCCCTCAGATACAAACAAAACAAGAGTGATTTACAATTGAAGAAATGAAAGAAAAAATGGTGGATGGAGCCCCGAAAAAAGAGATTGAGAGAGCCTATGCGAAAAATGACGTAATGACGGGTTTAAAAATATTGATGCCTCTTTACGAATGAAGGATTAATATATATATATATATATATATATATATATATATATATATATATATATATATATATATGCATGTGTATGTGTGTATATATATACATATATGCATGTGTATGTGTGTGTATATATATATAAATTTTTCAGATAGAGTACATATATCTGTAAAAGGATTTTTCCTTTTGTTTTATCTATATATCTATATCGATATATATATATATATATATATATATATATATATATATATATATATATATATATATATATATGTGTGTGTGTGTGTGTGTGTGTGTGTGTGTGTGTGTGTGTGTGTGTGTATTATTTTTCTTTTTTCTTTTGGAAAAGCATAGCATAATGAAAAAAAACTCCCGAACATCAAAATGTTAATGTTATTATTAAGAGGAAAGACCAAAGTATTTTAAAATTAATTTTTGAAATTTTTTAATATCCTTTCTAGCATGTTCGAAATTTTAGTTAAAAATCTTGTTTTGTTTAGTTCAACGGCTGACGTAATAACATTTTTTGGTGGGGGGGTTAGCTTTTTTCCGGTGAAAACGCACTGATTTGGAAATTCTTGCAAAAACCAAATAATTGTCGGATTTTAATGAAAATTTAAGGACATTCATAAATGAATTAAATTATTTTTGAAATTTTTTTTTTTTTTTTTTTTTTTAAGGAAATCTTAAATATTTTTTTACATATGTTGCCACCCACTTAATTTCATGAAATTTCGAGAAATTCAATTTCTGGGGTGGGGATTTTTTATTAGTTAAAAGCAGGACTCTTTTGAGAATGTAAAACATATATTATTTTTATAAAACAGTTACCCCTTTTCACCAAAAAATCTGCTCTGAATGCAATAAAACTATGACATCATTTTATTAGAAAATCTTTTAATTGCTTTGATAAATAAGATTTATTAAGGACACTCTTGTCTTAAGAAAATTTTTTACGATGAATAATTAATTTTTACAAGAATGGTTTTCATTTTTTAAAATTTTTATTAAATAATTTATAATGTTAAAAAATCGTTTAAAATTCTGCATTGCTTCAAGATGGCGGTTTGGTGATAACTAAAAGCTACATTTACGAATCAAAATTTGAAAAGCTCATAACAGTCGTTTGTACCCAATATTTTAAAAATAAATTAAAAAAAAAAATTGGTGTATAAACTTTCCCAATTTCTAACTATATTAAACCATAAATGATATTATCCTTTAAAAGGTCACGTGATTTAAGAGTTGCCTGGCAATCAGCAATTCTTTTAATTTCATTATTCAGTTCTGTTTCATTATTAACGTCTTTGCAAATCATCCCTTCAAAATTTCAAAGTTAGTTTTTTTTTAAATTAGTATTTCATTAAATATTTTTATTTTATGTATTTATTTTAGTCTGGATCATATTTCAATTAAGTAATTTTTTGTTTAAGTTAGTAAACTCAAGAACCTAGAGACCAAACGCAAATTTCATAAATCAGCTTCACACGTAACTAAAAGTCAATAAAATATTAAATAATAGATGAAAATATGTTAATTTGCAAAAATTACTAGGTAGTTACCTCCCCCCCATCAAAAAATTCGTTCACGTAGATTTCATAAATTCATGTCAATTCTTGTTATCCATAGTTTACCTCGATATTGATACGTCAATAAAGGTAAAAGAAAAACAGGACCCATTCTTAAGAAATGCTTGTATATTACATTTTTTACGCTATAAGTAATATTTATTTCAAATCCGATTAATTTAACTTTAAATTTGCTAATTTTATTCAAATAACGTGTCCCAAATATATATTTTGTTTTTGGAAGATATTTTAAAAACTAAAATATTGTTTTATTTACGAATTTCTTAAAATTAAGAAAATAGTCGTTTGTAAGAAGATTTTCTGAAATCGGCCAAAAAGTTGAGATTCCGTTCTATATAATTTCTATTTGAAAAATACACCAGAATATTTTACTTACTAGAAATAGTAAATTTGATCATTTAGTTTTCAATTAAGGCTATAATGAAATATCGATGAATGCTTTTGCATTTTTAAAAATTCATTTCAAACCTTATGTATCGAAAATTCAGTGGAAATGGAGTGTAATCACGGGAAGTATAGAGAGATCATTTCGAAAGATTTGTTTATCACTCAGACATTAATACTTTTTAGCCCTGACTACCGGTTTACCGGTGGTAGACAAAAATGACGTAATGCCTAGCCATTGGCTGAACAGTGGTAAAGAAAAAATGACTTAGTGCCAAGCCATTGGTTTATTTTTATATTTACCGTGAAACATTACATACCAGTTATTAGCGAATTTTGACTCAGGAGCTCAGGCAGATTGGGTTAAAAATTGTTTAGGAATTCAGGACTGAAAGGGTTAAATTAGTTACAAAATTACTGCGGGGAGGGGGTGTTTTGTAAAACAGTCACCTCCAAGTTTTCCCGCCACTGATGTGGAATAAATTCTAGGTTATCTTTCTCCAATTAGTCAAGGCAACATGGAGGAAATCGCTTACATAGAAGGTAATGGGGAAAGTCAACTTCTTTATTATAAGAGCATTTTTCCTTTTTAGCTATATGTAGTATCCACTGCAGCAGAAGGAGCCAGTATTGATTCATCGTAATGATGTACTGTTTCTTCATAACAATGTTATAGAAAGATCAAAGATTTCTTTTTATTATTAAATTGTATTTTTTGATCTTTTTTATAACGTTCAAAATTTAAAAAAAAATGTTTTTCTTGAGTCAGTTTAGGGTGGGGTGGAGGGGGAACAAATATAAGTATAGAACATTTTCGCGTCTTTTTGCGGTGAAAAACACATTGATTTAGAAATTTCTTTTTTCAGATTTTAATGAAACTTTCAGGATTTAATCACATATGAATGAAATTAGAAATGTTTCCTTTTTTTTTTTTAGAAAATCTGGGTAAAACCTTTTTTTTTTTACATATTTTACCTGTCTCCACTTGTTTAATTTTATGAAATATGATGAGAAATTACTTTTCGTACCTCTTAATGTTTATATTAGTTATAAGCAGACGTCCTTGGAGAAGTTAGATCATCAATTCTTTTTGCTAAAACAACACCCACAATTACCGAAAATCTGCTCTGAATCGTAAAATATAAAATGCAATAAAACTAAGACATTATTCAATTATAAAACTTCTAATTGCTTTTATAATTAATATATATTATGTGAAACTATTTTTAGAAGAAAACAAAATTTTCGATGAATAATAAATTTTTACAAGAATTGTTTTCATTTTTTAATAATTTATAAATCTTTTGAATTTATATATTAATTTGTATCGATTAGGAGATATTGTTATGAAGTAAACATTATATTTACTAATCATAAATCGAAAAGCTTATAACGACCCCACTATTTTAAAAAGAAATTTGTATGTATGAACGTGCTGATTTTTGGAAATACACCATATTATCAGAAAATAAGAGCGATAATTATAGTAAATTTGAAGCTAAAATACCTAAAATTCAATAAAACATTAGATTATAGAGAGTATTTTAAATTTTAAAGATTTCTGGGTAGTTAAAAATTTAATGAAAAAAGCGCTCACGTAATATTCCTCAAGTAATTTTTACAGATATTACCTCCATAGAAAAAATTGCCTAAGCTTCCAGATTGCAGTCAAGCTGTCAACACCTTAACTAAACATACACTTCTGTGTTAAAAATGCATTTCTGTGTCATTTTAAAGTAAAAAATAGTATTTGTTTAAAATCAGATTTGTTAAATTTTAGATCAGCTAATATACCTTAAATAAACTTTCGGAAACGTATATTTTATTTTTCTAATTATTTTTTATAAAAAGAATTACATTGTACTGACAGATGACTAATAATAACGCTAAAATCAGCGATTTTTAGCGATTTCAAAGCAAAACAAACTTTCAGTGTTGAAATATAGAAAAGTATTTTACTTATTGGAAATATTAAATATGATTTATTAGCTTCAAATAAAAACTAAAATAACATTTTAAAAAATGTTTAAGTTTTAAAAATTCAGCTAATATCAACACAAATACAACTTTGTCAACATATCACCCGAAATACGCCGTGGTTTTGTCCATTGGCCGCTTAGGGATTTTCGTAATGTAAACTGTGCAAACTGGTTTCTGAAAATATTTTAAAACGAGAAATAATTTACAAAAGGAACTTTAGCACGCAATAAGTTTTTTGAATAGACGAAAATTTGAGAAATCAGTATTGTTTACATCTCACTCTTCAGAAGTTATTTTGAAGACTAGGTTATTAATTTAAATTTCGCTCTTTATAGGAAAAAGCGGACCACAGTAATTTAAAAGATAGATTTATTAAAATCAGAAGATTTATTGATTAATAAATATATTTTCCAATCTTTAATATTTTGAACCATCACTTTTTGAGCATACGACACAGAAGTTTCCTGTCTGCTTTTTCAAAGCTTTGAACTGCGTTTGAGACAATTTCGCTGATTGGTCAATAAATGCTAATGTGGAAATTTGAATTTGACAGTTGTGTGATTCTATTTTTGCACAGAATTGAGATCTTAGTGATACTACTTAAATCTATTGATTTTTTTACTACAGATTTAACTGGGTTCTGCACACACACAAATCCACACACACACACACGCACACACACACACACACACACACACATATATATATATATATATATATATAAGCATAAATCTAAATAAAACGTTATAAAAATAATGAAAATTCTCAATTCGGTAACAGAGCAATATAAAATCATATTAAAAAGATATTATGGAGACTTACTACATGCAAGCAATGCTTTCACTTCAAATTGTCAAGTCATATATATATATATATATATATATATATATATATATATATATATGTATATGAGTTTATCTGTCATCGATATTAAGAAAGAAGATATTACAGCAATTTACCAGCAAGAGCGCTTTCACCTCAGGCGTGTCAGCGTCAGTTGAAAGCGCTCTTGCTGGTAAATTGCTGTAATATCTTCTTTCTTAATACAAACACACACACACACACACACACACACATATATATATATAATTACTTTTTCAAAAATATAATTCCTTCGCTACATAAGAGTTCTCATGTTTCAAAAACGAGTGCCGAAAACCTCAATATAATTATTAAAATTAAATTGAATTAAAGTATCAAGCCCTGTTTCAACCTCAGGCGAAAATTTAAGAATAACCAATCTTGAAATTTACGCATCTTTATAAGCAAGTTCATTTGCAAAATTAATTACTATGGAAACAGCTGGAGCGAGCATTTTGATAAGAGGCGTAAGAGTTAACAATTTGCATCCACATATCAGTCACCTTTGGAAAGAGGTTAAGCCAAGGCAGGGCCGGTGTGTCCATTTCAAAGCGAACGATATCATTCATATACTCACATCGTCTGGTCAGTCACAGCGACAGATAGCTGTTGCCACCAGCATACGTCGTTAAGTGTCTAAAGAATTTTTTTTTCTAAAGGGCTGCTTCGTACATAAACGCGTCGCACTGAACTACAATTTGTTTTTTTGACGAGTTCATAAAGTTTTTTTTTCTATCTTATGATTGGGTTAAGCTTTTAAATCGTTTATTAGACTATAAAATTGAATTTTTTATGCTAATTATTTAATGCGAAAATTTTTTGAAAACCGTTAACTCATGTCTATGGTTTAATAAATTTTCATTATTTAGAAACTTACAATGTGCAATTTTTCATGTAGGCATAAAGGGCATGGGTCATCCCAAGTTTTACAAGTTCTTGTTCTATTTATTATTTTCCATTTTACTTTTGGTGTTTTATTCATTTCCTTTAAATGCCAAAAATATTTGGATAGAGATGTCTGATTTCTATTTCTAATATTATTGAAGGAGCTTTTGTGTTGTCTCCATCTAATTTTAAATTCATTTTTCGTGGAACAATGTATATCCTTTCAGTTTTAGGACTCTCAATGGATGACATTTATTTTCCAACGGGCAGTCTTCAGGGTTCCTACAATGACATAATTTTTCATTATTTTTGTCTAATTTTACTTTAGGATTTTTATTAATACTATTTTGGCATGCGTGTTTTTCCAGGATTTTATTATGTTTTTTATGATTCTTTCTAGATTTTCAGTGCAATTGTAACTTAATTTTAAGGTGTTTTTATTAAAGATCTTGCTAAGTCTGCTATTAGTAGGAAAGTGTTTTTCAATTAAAGCTAGGGACTTATGTCCGAGCTTAATACTAACCATTTGGTTGAACGGAAGAGTATACCAAATGATTTTTCTTTTCCTGTTTTTCTTCTGGTTAGTACTATTGTTATTTTATTTTATAATTTTTTCATTCTTTTGTAAGTTTTATATTCAAGTTTTCTAGTTTCCTTATTTTTGTTTTTGTTTTATGAGCTGTAAGAATGTCTAGCGTCTGCCCGGAGTGGCTATTGTCCTGAACGTTTCGGTTAATACTTTAGTCATTTCCAAGGTTTGAATACATTTGAAACTGTGATGATGGAAGACATGGAAACAAAAAATATATGAACTCTTAGACAAAGTAGTAAAAAGAAAAGCGTGAAGAAAGGACTAGCTATCAACTTTTAGAAGACAATATATCGTCGTCAGCAAAAGAAATAGCAAATGGTGTGCGTTTCGTATTGTAGACTTTAGAATCAAGGAAGTGCCAATATATAACGATATAGATGGTGTCGTAACGGACGACGGAAAATGTGGCACTGAAATTCGAAGTTGCACAGGAATAGTGAAAGATACCTTCCAGAAACTAAACAAAGTAGTGAAATGGAAAATGACGTTAGGAAGTGAACGAAATAGGGATGAAATGCTATGCAATATCTATCCTGGTAAATGGACGTGAATGGTAGACAATATCCTCAAAGAAGAGAACACTGGCGGCAACAGAAATGTTGTTCAACAGAGCAATACACACTTGATGAAGGCCGGAAGGCACAACGGTTGAAACGTTGTGATTACAACAACAAAGATGAGGATGATAGTCCGAATGTAAATAGTGTAAATAATGATAACTTCATATCCTAGTCATTCAGACAGAAACGTCATACGTCTGTCACTCCTCTATCATTATTTCCATGGAGAAGTTTCTGAGCTACGTCCTTTAGATCCACCATCCAAGACTTTTACAGAGAAAACCTTCCATGCCATGTACACAGGTGGATAGGTGGGGGTTCGAACCAGCACCATTCCTTTGGTGTTTCATTGATAAAAAGGAAGTTCTCCTGCCTAAGGGCCTCTCCTTTGTGGGACAGACTCCCGAGTGTGTACTTACCTGTCTGGTAATTTAATGTTGTTTTTGTGAAGGGGAAACTCTCTTGTTCTTTGTTGTCTTTTTACATATCGTCTTTCTATAGATACATATCTACAGATCTGGATTTTTACACACACACACACAGAGAGAGAGAGAGAGAGAGAGAGAGAGAGAGAGAGAGAGAGAGGATGCAATGGGTAAATTGTCGCCATTTTATATTTTTTAATTTCGTCCATACGCGCTGTTTTTTTTTTTGATTTTGTCGATTACACAGTATAGTATGGTCAGTTGGACACTGTCTGTAAGAAAAAGAGCACCATGACGCAATTCACGCCGCCAGAAATTTGGAAACGGCATGACGAACTGCTTGGCATTCGCACCGGAAGC